ATATAACAATTAAATAAAACAGCACAGTGGAGTAATGGATAGTGGCTTGGATTGAGGAATCAGAGAGCCAAGTTCAAATTCCATTCAAATCTATTACATTCACTTACATGCTAATACCCTTGGGAAAGGTGTGAATCCTCCTCTTCTCCCCACCACCAGCTATAGGTTATTTAGGACAGACTGGGTTCTATAGCCTTGGACGGCAACTAGTCTAAGAGAAAGACAACTCTGAATTCAAAACCTGCGGAGAATCATTTGCGAACCTTGTTACACATAGTGCACCAGGTCTCTGTATTTGGCCCTTCAAAAAGTGTGGATGGTTGTGGAGAGCCATGATTGCTCACGTCCTCAAGAAACACAATTCTGAGAAGAAGAAATATATATACAGGGTGATGCAAAAGTGACACACCATAGTGGTTAATTAATTAATTATGTTTTACATGATAAAATAATTAACCACTAATAATTCCCTGTCTAATTTGTTTTGATAGTTTTTTTTTATTTTGTTTTGTCAGATGTGCCCCAGAAGAGGAAGAATGAAGTATGAATTCAGTAAAATGACAAAGGAAACTCTCTGATGTATTAAAGAATCCTGCAGGCAGAGAATTGAAATGTGTTTTGGAAAAGGAGGAGGACATTTTGAAAAGCACATATAACAATTAAATAAAATTTTGACGTGAAATTATACTTTTAATAAATTATTTTTGAGCTGCATGACTTTTGTCTCACCCTTTATCTCTCTCAATTTCTAAAGTAGGATTTGTTTTTTTTTTTTTATATATATTAACTTAACAGATTTTATCACTTAGTGGATATTCATATTTGAGTAGACGGTCTTGTTTATTTATTAAACAGTATATTTATTTATTTTTTATCTACCAACCTGAATGTTAATGAAATCTTAGTAAAGAAAAATATGCCCACTCCAACAAGATTCAAACCTGCCTCCCCTGGCAGAGGGAACGATTATTAGATCCAATGTGCTTTAACTCACTCGGCCACAAAGAACCTTTGCCGATCAGTTAGTGAGTTATATACCATGATACATGCTAGGAGATCATTTCAATACATGACTGACGAGGCAGATTTTTTCCTGCAGTAGGTTGCCATTTCTTTCTGCGGTAGATCAGTTGCCATCCAAGGATATAGAACCTGGTCTATCCTGCTATTTGCCCATAGATGGAGGTGGTGGAGAGGAAGAATACTCATACCTTTCCCAAGTGTATTAGCACGTAAGTGAATGTAATTGATTCAACTGGACAAACAAGGTTAAATATTGTCTTTAAGCAAAATTCTTCTTGTCATGGATTCTTGAAATTTCATATTTGTACAGTTTCGTATCCATACACCACCTTATGCTCCCACCCTTCCTCCAAAAGAAATATCCTAAACCTAGTAACTTCACTGTACTAGTACCATGCTAATTACTCAGAGCAACTGGCAACACCCATATGCTCTCCAAGTAAACTATGGCAGGTCAATTTTTTTTTTAAATTTAAAACAATAAGAAAAAATGTACACTGTGACCTTATAGAATGCCAGGTTACCAATACTCTCTCCTTTATGAAATATCTCCAGGCAAGGAAGATTAACTGACAGACGCACACTACGTGTAAATAGATGTGTATGATAAATTGACAGACGCACACTACGTGTAAATAGATGTGTATGATAAATTGACAGACGCACACTACGTGTAAATAGATGTGTATGATTAACTGACAGACACACACTACGTGTAAATAGATGTGTATGATTAACTGACAGACGCACACTACGTGTAAATATATGTGTATGATTAACTGACAGATGGACACTACATGTAATCAGATAAATTTATATGATTAACTGACAGACACACACTATATGTACATAGATAAATGTGTACACACACACATATATATATATATATATATATATATATATATATATATATAGAGAGAGAGAGAGAGAGAGAGAGAGAGAGAGAGAGATGTAAATTTATGGCTATAGATCTATAAATAACTGGGTTTCCCCGAGAAAGCTAACAGGTTGCATGCACAAATATGAGCGGATACATTTACAGTTTCTTTTAATTTTTATGCTCGCTACTGGCAATCATTCATGATGCGTGCATCCTACTAATGTTGAGCCTAAAGGCAAGAGATGAGATGAACAAAAAATAAAAATAAAAGCAACATCCACTTCTTGCAAGAACAACTGTTAACAAATGCACATAAAACCAATAAACACACAAAATAAAAAAGAAAGAAAAAAATAAAACAGAAACAGATATGTCTTTAG